ATGTCTGACTCTTTGTGACCCCATGGACTATACAGTCCATGGAATTCTCCAGGCCAGAATACTGGAGTGGTTAGCTGTTCCCTTCTGCAGGGATTCCCTTCTGTTCCCACGCTGCAGGGGATCTTTGGAGGCCTCTTTTTCCTCCCAGACTCTTCCTCAAGGAGTATAGCTCATGTCACCTGTCAAGTAAACCCTATTTCTTCTCTTCTTGATAACATCTCCACCTCTACACCCAGGAAGGTGGTACACTTGTATTCTGTTCTCTAAGAAAATTTGTTTTTTCGGTGAGGGACTTAGGAGAGGGGGGAGGGCATGGCGCAGGCAGTGAGGACTCATTAATACTGACATGCATATTTTCAAATCATAGTTTTCTCCGGGAGGGAAGTTTTCCTTTCCCCCACACCCTCTTCAGCATTTATTGTTTGTACTTTTTGATGATTGCCATTCTGACCATGTGAGGTGGTACCTCATTGTAGTTTTTATTTGATTTGCATTTCTCTGATAAGTAGTGATGTTGAGCATCTTTTTATGTGCCTTTTGGCCATCTGTATGTCTTCTTTGGAGAAATGTCTATTTAGATCTTCTGCCCATTTCTTGATTGGAATTTTTTTTAAATATAATAAGCTGCATGAGCTGTTTGTATATTTTGGAGATTAATCCCTGTTGGTCGCTTCATTTGAAAATATTTTCTCCCATTCTGTGGGTTGTCTTTTCATTTTATTCATGGTTTCTTTTTCTGTGCAAAAGCCTTTAAGTTTAATTAGGTCCCATTTCATGTACCCCAATGTCCACTGAGGCACTATTTACAATAGCCAGGCATGGAAGCAACCTAAATGTCCATCAATGGAGGAATGGAGAAAGAAGGTGTGGGAGACATATATCTACCTCTAATGGAATATTATTAAGCCATAAAAAAGAACAAATAATGCCATTTGCAGTGACATGGATGGGCTAGAGATTGTCATGTTGAGTGAAGTAAGTCAGACAAAGACAAATATCATATGATATCGCTTATATGTGGAATCCAAAAAAATGGTAGCAATGAACATATTTACAAAACAGAAATAGAGTCACAGATATAGAAAACAAACTTATGGTTAACAAGGGGGCGAGAAGGGGAGGGATGAATTTGGAGATTGGGATTGACATATACATACTATGTGTGTTAGTCACTCAGATGGGTCTGACTCTGCAATCCTATGGACTGTAGCCCACCAGGCTCCTCTGTCCATGGGATTTCCCAGGCAAGAATGCTGGCGTGGGTTAGAATACTGGAGTGGGTTAGAATGCTGGCGTGGGTTAGAATACTGGAGTGGGTTAGAATACTGGCGTGGGTTAGAATGCTGGAGTGGGTTAGAATACTGGAGTGGGTTAGAATACTGGCGTGGGTTAGAATGCTGGAGTGGGTTAGAATACTGGCGTGGGTTAGAATGCTGGAGTGGGTTAGAATACTGGCGTGGGTTAGAATACTGGAGTGGGTTGCCATTTGATAACTAATGAGAACCTACTGTATAGCACAGGGAACTCTACTCAATATTCTGCAATGACCTCTATGGGAAAAGAATCTAAGAGTGGGTATATGTATATGTATAACTGATTTGCTTTGCTGTACCGTGGAAACTAACACATCGTAAATCAATTGCACTCCAATAAAAATTAATTAAAAATATTATCAAAACTTTATGATTACTGTATCCATCATGTCTTCATTTTGTCCAGAGCCTGTCATTATGTAAACAATGAAATTTACTGTGTCAGTTGCTTTGAATCTTGAAAAAAAAAAGTATTGACATGCAAATGACTCTGTAAGCTCTGTGTAATTCATTCAAGGAAATCTGCATGTGAGGTGGCAGAAAGAGCCTGCAATCAGAGAGACACGTGCATCATACTCTGTATTCAGTCCCTCTTTGCATGGGCTGTCCCTGTAAGGGATACTGAAAATCCTCTTCTCCTACAGCTTTTTCACCAGAAACGCCTCTTCCCGGGCTCTGAAGCGAGGATTTAACTGTTCCTCTTAACCACCATTTATTATGTCTGCTATGTACCCAGCTTTGTGCAGGGTGATGTCTTGTGTATTGCCTCTGTCCCTGGGTTGTCACCGTGCCACTGGTCATCTCAGTGGGTTTGGGATGCGTCCGTGATTGAGATTTAAATTTGAGCTTTCCAGGGGACTGTGAAAACTCGTAGATATAGACCCCTCTTTGCCATGTCCCACTGCAGTTATAGTGGTAAGTCCTTCTCTGGTTCCCCAAACTGCATGGAACAACTTGGGTAGAAATTACACTGATGTGACAGGCAAGTGGGCTCTTCAGCGCTCTCCTTTTCAGGGGAGTTACTGGTCATGCTGCAGGACTCAGTGTCAACTGAAGTCTCATAGAAAGAACAAATACCTAAATACATCTTGATGGTCCCCCTGTGCTGTCCATGGAACAAAGCCACTACCCTGGGCTCCGTCCCAGATTTCCACACGTTGTCAACCATCTGTTTCCTGGATCTAACTGGGCCCCCAGCTGGATTTGGGATTCACCCCTTTGGGGGTGACTTCATCTAACAGAGGCCAGCGGATGGCACAGAACCTGGCATGCTATTACAGTCCAGGCGGATATGGAGCAAGGCACAGCTGCAAGATACTGCAGAAGCCCCAGGCATATTGTCATCCTGCTCACAACCACAAGCTGTGGTGTTACCAGGATGGGAATTGAAAGCTCATACTACACTGAGCAAGCAGTGAAACCCATGCATTTTGGGAATGAAATGAGTAGTTTAGACCTAATAAATATGCAGATCAGGGGTTTTGTTTATGTTTCTGTCATCTGTGTCCTTTTTAGGGGAAGGAAAATTTTAATTCAGTGAAAAGCTCCAATCCCTGGGTCTTGGGGTGGTGGCTTGAGAAGGGAAACCCTGGAGGACCCTTTAATTAACCTGTGAATGTGCAGGGAAGGGCTTGAGCAAGATGGTGACACCTTGGTTCTGAGGTAAGACACCCCTAGAAAGTAATGCAACTTGAGCTTACTTGACTTCAGCCCCATAAAAGAGATCAAGTGTCCTCCAAATTCTGCTTGTCAAAGACTTTGGATTCAAGGCCACGGTTAATTTTATGTTTTAATTAAAAATTGTTTTTCAGATTATTATGCTCATTGTCAACACTTTGCAAGATATTGAAAAGTGTAAAAAGGAAGGAAAAGGGGGCCGCATTCATAATTCCACCACCCTATGGAATCACTAGTGACATTTGGGTGTATTTGAGCCAGTGTCCTGTTTTGTCTTTTAGAACAAGTCTAGTGGGGGAGGCACCTGGGTAGATGGGTGACTTTCTGTCACCTCTCTCCAGTGATGAGAGGATGGGCTCTGGGGGTGGACAGGAATCCAGTCACCCTGGTGCTCTGAGATGACAACAGAAGTGTGTCTACAGATAATGAACATGCCTTCACTTGCCCCTGCTGGCTCAGAAGGTAAAGAATCAGCCTGCCAATGCAGAAGCTGCAAGAGTTGTGGTTTTGATCCCTGGGTTGGCAAGATACCCTGGCGAAGGAAATGGCAACCCACTCTGGTATTCTTGCCTGGAGAATCCCGTGGACAGAGGAGCCTGGTGGGCTACAGTCCATGGAGTCGCAGAGTTGGACACAACTGAGTGACTAACAGTACACGTATCCCACATGGTGCACAGCCACCCTCCTCTAAATATGGGGCGGGGAGAGAATCCAGCCTGACCGGGCGGCCCCACGTTACAGACTGCAGAGAGGCACCACGGAAGTGGCAGGAAGGGTTGTTAACAACACAGCCCGCAGAGCTAGCGCACCTGGGGTCAATCCCAGCTGTCCTACCTGAGAGCTATGGGATCTTGGGTGAGTTGCCTCATCTCTCTTTGGCCCAGTTTCCATATCTGTAAATAAGGATACTAGAACATACCTCAAAGGCTGTCATGAGGATTAAGTTAGAATACACAATACTGTTATAACAGTGTCTGTCAAACAGCCCTCAAACACCAGGCGTTAGTTTATTTCCTGTTGTACACATTAGACCAACCTTACCCCTAAAGGTGGGTTTCCCTGGTGACTCCGATAGTAATGATTCTGCCTACGATGCAGGAGACTCAGGTTCGATCCCTGGATCAGGAAGACCCCCTGGAGAAGGGAATGGCAACCCACTCCCGTATTCCTGCCTGGAGAATCCCACGGACAGAGGAGTGTGTAGGCTGCAGTCCATGGGGTTGCAAAGAGTCAGACATGATTGAGTGACTAACAATTTCACTTCACTTTTCACCCCGTAAGGGTATTTCCAATATCTTCTGCTGATACTGGATTAGCCAAAAAGTTCATTTGGGTTTTTCTGTACAATGAGATAGAAAAGCCTGAAGAAACTTTATGGCCAACCCATCACTTAGATGAAGGAAGGCAGAAGGAAGGCTGGATTTAGAAATGGAAGATCTTGGTTCAAGTTGTGACCCAGCACTTTCTACCATGTAAGTCAATTGATTTCCATGCACCTAAGTTTCATCATCTGAGGTGAATGGGGATAACAAGACCCTTCTCACCAGTTGTTGTAAAAGGATGGGTTGAGACCACAGAAATGCAGAAGTGCTTTGCGGATGGAGAACTGTAGACTTCATACTGGGGCTTTATTTGTGCAACTTTTACCGGGTGAATCTGAGGACAGGCAGCAGAGGCAGGAAGGCGGGAAGGACAAACTGTGCTGGAAAAACCCTTGCAGAAAATCTGCACAGGAGCCTGCTGTCTTACTTGGTGCACTTAGTTGGTGCAGCAGGACCAGGAATTTGTGCAGCTGGTTCCTAGGGTTGCCTGGGTAGTGAGAGGTTCCTGGCAGGGCCGTGGAAGTGGGGGAAGGCAGAAGTAGGGGAAAAGAATTATTTTCCTTTGCAGGAAGAGGCAATTGAGTTTCTCTGATGGGCTCCTCCCTGGCCAAGTCTCAGCAGAGGCTGCTGAAGAGCCAAATGCCATGCAGGGGAGGAGGAGACGTCAGGGTGGAGGTCCCTCTCTCACCTGTGGCGAAGGCGGTGGAGGTGATGCTGCTCCGCGCAGTGTCCTGCGCCGCCTGCAGGAGCACCGTGTAGTCTGTGCTCTCGGACAGGCCCTCCAGTCGGATCCACGTGTCCTCTGCGTCCACAATCAGCTCCTGCAGGATGGACCGGGGGAGGGAGGTGGACAGTGGTGAGCAGAGGGGTCACCATGGAGGTAAGTGGGGCAGGGAAGTTCAGACCCCACGGTCAGTATTACAGTGACCATTTTTATTCTCTCGTCCCATATCATGTCAGGAGAAGACGTTCCAATAAGCAGAAAGAACACCTCCTACGTGGGACTGAGGCCAGCTCCCCTCCCATGGATGCACACTGGACAAGCTTAGCCCTGGGTTATTGAACCCTGTGGTTTTCAGATCACACAGGGTCTCCTGGAGGCCTGAGTGAGGAAGGAGGAACATAGGCCTCCCTCCTTCACACCCGCAGACTAGCTCTACTGAAATCTATTCTGTATATTTGGTTTCTGAATATGATTTCACTTTTTTAAAAAAAAGGATTTCACCGTTAACAAACATTTGACAACCAGTGCTATAAGTGGCCTGTTTCAACTGACCATCTAAAACAGAAATTTGTGATCTCTTTACTGTGGGCTGTATAGATGGAGCCTTTATCATGTTTATCAAGAGGCACATGAGACTGTCGAATTTGGTATCCAGCTCATGTGTGCATGGCCCTGTTAGTGAAAATTTATTCCAATACCATATACTTATTAATTGGCTTGGAGGCTGGTATCGGCAGCATCAACCACAACTGAGTGAAGTTGCAGGGTAGATGCCCCTATTACCTAGAGCAGAAACAGGGGCTCAGAGAGGTTGAGTGTTTTGCCTCAACTTGCACGGAAAGTAAGAGGGAGGCAAGACTAACACCCAAATGTCTGGCTTGCAGATGAGTGCTCTTTCCTCAACAGCCTGCTATGTATCCGTAATGGCAAACTTAGCTTACTCCCTGTGGGTTGCTTTCAGAAAAATCTCACCTTGCGGCTTCCATCAGTGGATTTGTAGGTCAAGACGTAGTTCTCAATCTCTGCTCTGGGAGGCTGCCAGGAGATCAGGGCGCTTTGTCTGGTGACTTCACTGGCTGTCAGATTTTCAGGAGCATCCAGGACTACAAAGAAGAGAAAATGCCAGGAGTGGGCGCCCCTCCAGCTCCTCCCTCTTTGATGCCAGGCATGTGGACCAATTTGTCCACCTATGTGATCTCTGGGCTGCTCACATGGTGACCCCAGTTCTAGCTTGGACAGGAGCATAAAGGACACTCCTGGGCAGAAGATAATCATTCAGTGTCATGATCATTCCTGAAGCTATTCCCCCTTCCCTCACCTGGTCCTCTGGGCCTGGGTGTGACATCTTCCAGTCTGAAATCATGACCTTGTTAAACCTGCATGTCTGTGAGTTCACTCTTGAATTTACATCATTCCCACATGTATACTTTTGTCTACTGTTCTCCTGGCCATGACTGCCCCTGGCAATTCTCTCCCAATATTAAGCCCTTTAGTTCCATCAGAATTTTATGGGCCAGATGCATTCCCAATACTGGCCTCTCTTGACCTGGATGTATTGCTCTCATCCAGACTCAGGAAAAGAGTTGCAGCCCACTTTCACTGGCGTTTGGGCTGCACTTAACTAAAATAAGAATGCCTCATAACCGCATTGTCCAAAACCTATAGACTCTAATCTAGTCCAGCCCTTGGAAACTGATCACTTTCAGGATCCATAAAAGCCTCCCGGGATATTGACATGGAGCTGACCATTCGAGTACTCACGGGTAGAGAAGTTGGTACTGACGGTACCACTGGTGAGAGGCCCACTGGTGGCATACATGGTGACAGTGTAGTGGGTCCTAGGAAGCAGGTCAACAAGCTGGAATTCCTCACTGTCTCCATCAACCAGGATGGTCTCTCCAGCAACTAAAATCAGATGGACATGGATAAGGATTGAATAAGACTATTCAATTTAGGAAAGACTTATCCAATCCAAAGATATTCCTTAAAAAAAAATGCACTATTAGAGTATTTTGGAAAAAATCCTTTAGAGGTTATTTAACTTAGCATTATATTCCATACAAAGCTCCCCTCTCATCTTGTTTTGCATCATAATTGAGAAATTATTTGGAGGCCGATTAGTCTTTCGCATAACATCTACTTGGGTCTCTGGAGTTAGAATAAATCAAATCTTTTGTTTCCTGACCTCTTCCTGCCCTTCACTCTTCCTAATCAGGTTTTCTCTCCTCTAGACTAAGAGCATTCAGCCCAGCCCCCATTACATGTATGAAAGTGAAAGAAAGTGAAGTCTCTTAGTCATGTCGGACTCTTTGCGACCCCATGGACTGTAGCCCACCAGGCTCCTCTGTCCATGGGATTTTCCAGGCAAGAATATTGGAGTGGGGTGCCATTTCCTTCTCCAGGGGATCTTATGAGATGATTCTAAAACTGTCACATTTCTGGCCACCTTTCTCTAAACAAGGAACAGTTTATCAGTGTCCCTGCTGAAATGCAAAACTCAGAAGAGAATCAAGAACAATAATTGAGATGAGCTGACAATGAAAGAAACAGGTTAAGACTCTGCTTTTATTTGTGCCAAGTATGTATATTAATCCTGGTCCTAGGATTTTGTTATCATAGGCTGAGATTAAAAATCATCAAAGATCATGTTTATAACCTCCTCCCAACCTTACCTTGTATAGTTCATTTTTTGCACCCATGGGAAGGGATTTGCATTCATTTTTCCTTGTTGACTGAGTGTGGGGCTACCATTTCAGTTTACTAAAATATATCTGAATTTGGATTCTAACGATCACAGTTTTGTTTGAAACATAAATTTGGTATTCATATCTTTTCTATATTCATTCAAGCTGTTGATAAAGCTGTTCATTAGATCAAGGCCAAGCCTCTTATTGTGTCTTGAGAATACTTCTGAGTCATTCAGCATTTAATAGAGTTTACTGGGCACTTCTCCAAATAATGGCAGGGCTGAAGTTTCAATTTTTTGTGGTCTAATGATACAGAAAAGTATGCAAACAAGTTAAAATCTAAACTAGCCCTTTGAAAGAGCTCATATAATGGCTCCATCTTTTTAATATCCTCCTTTGCAACATGATGCCAACAGTCAATGCTTCAGCCACATCAACTAAGGCAGTTCCTGTGACTCTCCAAGCTTTCTCTCTAAATGCACCACAGGCTGCTCTTTTTCTTGGAATTCACGTCTTTCTCCTAATCTCTTTTTCTTTTTCTCAGATCTAAGATCTGCCTTCTTTCTTCCCCTCCACACCCTCACTCCAAATCATAGTGGCCCATCAGGTGTGGCAGACTGGTGTTTTGCACTTGCCCACATCATGACACTGCCCACCCTGGGTTGTAACTCTTTACTTGTCTGCACCCTCACTAGAAGCGAATTCTTCGAAGATAAGAACTCATGTTTTGCTTTGAATCATTGTAGTCTCAGAGAGTGCATGGCACTTTGGAGGAAAGCAAAAGTAGTTGTTAAATGAATGGAAATTGCTATGATGGAACTCTGTGCTTCATATCTGACTGCCTTACGGGAATATGAGAGCTTTGATCTAGCAGATCGTGTTGGAACTGAGGCTTGAAGGATGACCTTAGTAGGTAGATAAGTGGGGAAAGAGTTTCCTGGTAGAGGAAAGAACATGTGCAAATGTACGTTGGCTTGAGAAGGCAGGTGAGAATTTAGAAATGCAGGGTCATAATGTGTAGGGAGGGGTGGTAGGGTTGACATGGCTTGTGCACGCACACAGCAGGGTTAGGATGTATCCATAGTAATGATGTTCATTCTCTGGGGAGAGTCAGTCATTCAATCAGCTATGGAACTCCAAATATGATCCACCATGTAGTTTTCCATCTCAATGGGAGGTGGGCCTTTCTAATGCCTTGCCGAGATACTGATGTGCTAGCAGATTTGCCAGTGAAAAAAAGGGGGCTCAAAAGGGTTTGGGCAAAACTCATACTTTGTGACCCTGTGCTGGTATGTAGTAATCATTGATTCCTTTCCAACTTACTTAATAGTCTGTTTTGGTTTCTACTTTCCCAAGCTTTGACAATCAGTTTACTTTGCAGCTTACAGAATTGACTTAATCTGTCATTTTTGAAAATCAAGACATCTGCCTGCCTTCTGTCTTCTGGTATCTTTGTTCTCTGGATTCCTGCCTATAACCCACAATATTCTGTGAGCACATGTATAATTTAGGCAGAGAAATAACTTCCTAGGCCTGGACACTTGAACTACTCATTAGCATTCTGCTTTGGGCTTCTCTAATCAACTTCAAATTGCGTTAAGGTGGGTAAGTATGGCAAAGTAAAAGTGAAAGTGAAGTCGCTCAGTTCTGTCCGACTCTTTGCAACCCCATGGACTGTAGCCTACCAGGCTCCTCCATCCATGGGATTCTCTAGGCAAGAGTACTGGAGTGGGTTTCCATTTCCTTCTCCAAGTATGGCAAAGAAGACATTAAAACTCAAGATCTCATGTTGGCTCAACCTTTGGGGTTGGATATGGGTAGAGAAGATCAAAGCAACAGAAGAATTTAGTAGTTTTGAATCCTTTGTCATCCGTTATCATGGATGGTCCTTTAGTGTTTTCCTCACTCTGTAAAATATCTAGAAAAGTCAACTTTCTTGCCCATAGCATTCTGGGGCAAGTTCTGAGTTTTGCCTTTCAAGTGCTACTTCTGTTTCTGTATTGGTTACATGCCCCTTTTGTACTTTTTAGATTTAACTTTCTCAATTCCCATAGTTGATACAGTTCACAGAGTTTGGGGGCTATCCTGAGGGCTTTATGATGAAATTAAAGCAGGGAAATTTCTAATTTTCTTTCAGATTAAAAAGATTTTAAAAAAATTTTCATATGGTCTTCAGCCCCAATCCCCACCATTCTCACCTGCCTAATGCATTGACCTGCAGACACCCACCTGCAAAGTGTGTGAGAACAATGACATAGTTCTCTACTTCACTCATGGGTGCCTTCCATTGCAGCAGGGCTTCGGTTGGGGTGATGTTGGTAGCAGTCAGATCCGCAGGATTGTCCATGGCTGAAACAACATAGGAAAATATCAGGTAGAGGTAAGAGGAACTGCAGGATGGAAGAGGAGAGAACTGTCTCCTGTAGTTTCACCTAGAATGCATGTCTGCTGCTGTGTGACACAAAATAATGAAGTGAGTGAAGACCTCTTTTCTTTCTTCCCTTCTGATTCCATCAGCCCCTTCCCCTTTCTCATTTCTCCTTCCTCTCAAGCACCCAGCACTCCCTTAATTACTCTCAGATCTTTTTTTAATTGATTAATTAACTTCTTACGTGCAGAGCAGTCGGGTGTTATAGGGGAGTCCAAGGTATGACTCTTGTGCTTTAGACATTTAAACCTAGGTAGAGAAACTAAGAACATATTAAAACTGTTATATTTTTGTAGCTGATGAGCTAATATGACTCCTAGGCTCTTTTTACTTGAATAAATGTTGATAGAAGGGGCATGCCATGTGAAATAGTCTCTGCTGATGAACTGCAGGAAGTGTGGTGGGAGTTCAATGAAGTCAGGGAGTAACCCCAGCACCTAGAACTTAGACATTGCTCAGTAAATGCTTGTGGAATGAAGAATGGGATTCAGGTTGCCTTTACAGTCAGATCTGCTCATTGAATTCTTGCTTTGCTACTCACAGGGCTGACTCTGTACTGAGTCCTGGGCTCTTTTTGTGGCATAGAGAGTCAAGGGATTTGGTCCAGGCTTAAAGCCGGGAGTGCCTGTTGAGGAGCAGAGTTTGTTCATCATAGCACCATATTCTCATTCTCACTTGCACATGTGGTTTAGTTGCTTCAATTGTGTCTGACTCTTTGCAACCCTATATACTGCAGCCCACCAGACTCCTCTGTCCATGGGATTCTCCAGGCAAGAATACTGGAGTGGGTGGCCATTTCCTTCTCCAAGGGATCTTTCTGACCCAGGGATCAAACCCTCATCTCCTACATTGCAGGCAGATTCTTTACTGCTCCTGTTCCCTGCCTCATTTCCTTACTGCACCTCTCTTCCATAAAGTTGGGATTTATCTTAGAAATGCAGGTTATTACAGTAGTTTAGGTATCAGGTCAACCTATGTGTCATGTAATTTAATTTTGGAGACCCAGCTATACTATTGATCTCTCCCTCTCCTCTAACTGAAGGTTAGATTGCTTGTCTATGTCCTTTATTTCAAAGAAACAACCATGTACAATGTTAACATCTGAATTGTGTCCATAATCTATGCCTTGAACAAGGTCTTCAAATGCAAGCTTCCAAAAAGAAACAAAGAAGAAAAATCTTAAGAGACTACATTTAGTTTGACCTCTCTGAGACCTACCATGATACCTTGAGGAGTAATCATTGCCAAAAGTTATAAAATCATAGACCTCACACTAAAGCAACAGCAACAGCAAAAGAACAAAATAAAACATTTCTGTGAGTAATCTGGTTGTTGGGAGTTGCCAAAATAGCTCTGCCTGAACTTGAAGGAGGGAAACTGGGTCGGTGCACTATTGAATATATGCTTTAGAGATACTTGCTTATAACCAAGAACCCAAGGAGCGAGTTTTGGACCTAAGTTGTTCTCTTATACTTTTGGGTTTGGAGGCTTGTGAAGTCCATTTTATTATCCTCCCTGAGAAAAACCCTAATTTCTTTAATGTGAATTTCTAAGACTTAGAGGAATGGATGAGGAAGGCTTCTTTATACTCACTGGGCATCCCTTCAGGTCAACATATGCTGATACTTTAATGGTCATAGATATCTTGATAGGAAGGGTAAGATTGAACCAAAAACATGGCTGCGCTATATGTAGTCACAGGCATGGCAGGACAGTACGGGAGATGAGAACATCCTGTGATGTCTTCAGGTGAATAACGTTTTGAGTTTCTAAAGGAATATTTCTTTGGCCATGGCCTTAGAGATGCTCCTTCTGGGCTAGTGAGCGTATCTACAAGAGCAGTGAGGAATTCCAGGTTGCTCTCATTCATGAAGTACTGTTCGTTCCCTGAGGGAAGTAAGCAGCCTCAGGAAATCCAGGTGTTCTCTTAATGAGGCAAGCTGGATGTCTTCCTGTGTGCTGGGTCAGCGCACTACTGAATATATGCTTCAATATACAGGAACCATATCATCACTGAGAATTGCGTCTGGGGTTGGAACCGAAAACTTTCACTGTTCCCTCTCATGTTTTCTGTGGAAAACCTGTCCTAGTTCTGCATGATGAGCTGGCTGAGGAGTCAGAAAAGAAGGGCAGGGTAGGGGCTGTCAGAGCCCTGCTCTCAAGCCCATCATTTTTTCCAGAGAAAATCACCTCCTTCCTCCTCCCTGGACGATAAAGCAAAAGGAAATGCAGTCACTTGGTGGTTCTGGTCATGTAGAATGAGGGGTTTCATGATTCCAAGGGTCGTTACTGGAATAACAGCCCCCTTTTGTTTTTTCTCTAAGGTAAAGTTTCTCTGTCAGTCTTTTAAAAAATTAGATGGAATGAATCACATGTCTGTTCTGGAATTCACTTCTGTCATGAGTCTTTGGAGGGTTACATTTCATATTGGAAATGCCATGAAAATGTCTGACCTAAACCAGTAAGAGTCTTAGAGGGTGACTCTAAACTCCTAGTGTTACAGAGAAGCTCCAAGGGAGGAACTTTGCAAATGCTTCGCATAACAATGTGAATCCAGGGAACACCCTGGAGGGCAACCTCCCATCCCCAACCCAGGACCAGTGTCCTCTGAGTTAGCCAGGATGACTTCTGTTGGTCCCAGGTCCTCAGCTGGGGTCCCACCTTGGCCCATGATGGGGAGACATGCCCACCTGTGTGCACAAGTGTGCAGATCCTCTCACTCTCCTCCCTGCCCCGCACGCTGTTGAGGCTGATTTCATATTCTGTAGCTGGGTACAGCTTGGTGATGGTGAATTCTGTCACCGTGTTGGGCACCACTGAGCTGTCCAGTCGTCCCACTAAGGAAGAGCAGAAGTCACAGGTCAAGTTCCATGGATCTCACATCAATGCAGCTCATGATACAGGATCTCCCAGCGGAACTTTGTCATGCAGCCCCGATAGACGGGTGCAAGGGTCAGCATCCATTTGGGAGAGAGGGGGGCTGGGAATGTTGGAATTTGAAGAGACCTTGCATGCTGATCCTTATTGTACAATACCCCCTTATTGTATAGGATCTCAAGAACAAAGGGGGGAAAAACTATTTATTAGGTGGTTTTCTAACAAGCTGGTCTTCAAGCAGTATAGAAAGCCATGGCTGAAAACTGGCCCATGCAGCCAAGAGATCCAGTAGTCTGGAAAATTATGCCCCCAACTCACTGGAAGTGAGTGCACCCTCTACTTCCTTAACAATTCCACATGCACCAGCAAGAGCTGGCAGGATGCAGGTGAGGTCTGGCCCTATCTCTTCTGACTCATAACTTGGATGGAGCAGCAGTAACAGGACCACCATCATTGTAGTTCCCTCCATATGACTCTGTGGTATCTTCAGGCATAGGCACCCCCTGGGGTTTAGTCTTGGACTTTAATTCTCTCAGAAAAGTACATGTGACCCTGGCTCCTGGCAGATTCTTTTAGAGATCTTAGTTTCTCGCTACACTGTCTGGATAGTGGTGACTGATTACCATGGTTCACTCAACCTGTAAAGGGCCTGCTTCCTGTGTGAATATAATCAAACCTTTTGTGAGAGGAGCTGGTATGTTCTGGGTTCCTTGGCTACTCATCATTACCCACTCTCATTCTGATGGAGCGAGCTACAGAGAGGAGGAAATTGCAGGCAAGGGGGTGATATCCCCTGGGATATACTAGTTCTGCCATAACAGTCTTCATCCAGTTCCAAATTCTATTCATCTTTGAGAAATCAAGTAACTTTATTACCTTGTGTTGGCCGATAGGATACTCGGTAGTAATCAAAAGATGCAACAGGAGGGCTCCAGGAGACCATAACTGAGTCCTTGGTCACATTGCTAATTGTGATGTCTTTGGGAGGATCAATTCCTACAAGGATCCGGGTGGTCGTGGGGAAAAGACAGAAGGCATAATATGAGAAACAATTTCCTATTTTTGGTTTTATGTGGACCAAGAGCTAATGGCGTCCCAGAGGCAGACAAGACCTTACTTTATACTAGGGCAACCTTAAAACCGTGATCAGGCTGAAGTCTCACTTGAAACCTCATAGATATGGCCAGAGTCATGCACCTGGAGAGTATTTTAACAACATGAAATCAAGCTGTCAAGGTCTGTGCCTGTATAGTGACTCTTACCTATCTGAATTCCAAGTGGAAAATATCCTTCAAGTTTGTTGTTTTGTTTTGAACTAGGAGTAATGGTCATTTTCTTTGGGGCAGCTTCTTTTGAACAAACCCAACTCTCTCTCTCTCTTTTTTGTATCAACCACCTTTGGTCAATTTGGAAAAATTGCTATTGACTGTACAGGGATTTCAGAGTACAAGTCCAGAACAAATCCACTTTCCTAAACTGATTTTTTTATTTGTACTGTATGCTCTGTTTTTTTTTTTTTTAAACTACTGGCAGGTTACAGGACCAAAACCAGCTGAGTGTTTAATCCACTTGTTCAATTCTTGTAAGTATATAAGAAATCACCCAAACACACATGTCCTCACCCACATCATACTCATATTTGTGACTGTATGTAAGAAGGATGAGATGCAAGTGATTCAGTACATCTCAGAGTACCTGTGTTTTTCAGACAACAAGCAGATCAACCCCATTCTCAGAGTACCAGGTCCCTATGTGGTTGCATGCTAGTCTTATATGATTCTGGGGAAACATCATTCACAAATTGAACTGACTGGGCAGTCAAGAGATGGCTCTCCAGAAGAGGAACAGATGTCTCCTCACTGTAGAAGGGTGTCCTCTTGGAGACTAGCTCTCTCCAGAGTTTTCTTCTAAGTTGATAGAAGGAGGACCTCTGGATCAATGCATTAAAGCCCTGGCCTCCTTAAGACATCAAGTCCATCCTATCTTCTAAGTGGAAGCTTCCCATCTTATACATTACGTGCAGCCCTGGAAGAGGTGACTGTTTAAGAACAATTCATAGACCCTCTCTGGATAAACAAGGTGGTCCTCTACTCCTTGGGTGTTTCTCTTTTAAATTTCATAAAGGTTATCATGGGAATCCCCATTATCACCTGCTGTCAAGTCCTCCAGCCCCACCTGTGGTGATGGAGCCCACGATGGGCTCAGAGGTCACTGTGCCATGGACTGCCACCAGATTCACAATGTATTCGGTAGCTGGCTGCAGGCCCATCAGGACAGCATGCCTCTTGGTGGCATCCAGGGAGACCTCCATCATTTCTTCCTCTTCATCCCGGGGGCTGTAGTTGAGAATGAGTCTGTCTGCCGGAGGGGATGGGTCACTCCAGGTGATGTTCACACTGGAGGAGGTCACGTGAGAAAAGTGCAAATGGGAGATGGGGCGGAAGCCTGAAAACAGAGGAAATGAATGGTTCTGAAATCCACATAAAGTGGTGGGGCCACTGGGGTAGAGAAGACATCTAACCAAAGAGGTCTGCTTTCCCTGCTAATCAGGAATAACCTGCACTTGTTAACCAGAGCGTCCACATCCTCACTCTCCTATCTCATCCACTCTCCTTTCTCCAAGCCAGACACAGAAAAATGAATGCCCTCAGCAGTATAAAAACAGCATCACCTCTGTGAATTATTCATAATACTGATGGGGGATTTAAAACTTCTATCCTGGAAGGAATTCAACATGATCCCATGGATCCTCTGAATACCCACTGACTTAGTGCAGGCAGAAAATGACCAGAATTAACTACTCTGACCAGCCTACAGGAAACCAGACAGAATTTTAAGCATGCAGGTAGCCTTGTTCATTTCTCCCCTTCACCTCCAGCCATTCTCTCTTGGGCTTCCCAGATGACTCAGTGGTAAAGAGTCTGCCTGCCAATGCAGGAGACACACAGGAGATACAGGTTCAATTCCTGGGTTGGAAAGATCCCATGGGGTAGGAAATGGCAACCAACTCCAGTATTCTTGCCTGTAACATTTCATGAACAGAGGAGCCTGTTGGGCTACAGTCCATGGGGTTGTAAAGAGTCAGACACAACTGAGTGACTGAGCACACACATACACATTCTTTTTTGAGGTATTTATTAATTTCTTCTCTATCTCTTCTTTCTCTACCTTTCTCTAAAATTCTTCCTTTCTCTAGAGGCAATGGGGTGTTGGAAGAGTGGGTTGCCTAGATGATCTTCTCATCCTAAGATCCACTGATCCCTGAACCCAGCTGAGATTTCTGCTGCCCGGGTACCTGTGAAGGCATCCACAGTGGACTCTAGACTCTGCTGCCGGCCCCTCTCAGCTGTGATTGAAATGATGTACTCTGCGCCGGGCTCTAGATCTGTCAGTGTATACGAGGTCCTGTCCTTGGGCACAGTGACTTCAGAGGCGATCCCAGAGGATGGGGTAAAGGTAATTCGGTAATGGTCAATGGGGCCACTGGCCTTGGTCCAGATGAGGGAGATGGAGGTTTCTGAGGAGGCTGTCACCATGAGGTCTCGAGGACTGTCGAGTTCTGTGGATCAAAATAAGCATCCTATTTTATGTAAGTTCCACACGAGGGCCAGTATTTATTGGAATTAGGCCCCCGGTGGATTTCTAAGCTATCAGCGGGTCTGCTGACCATGAAGATTGGCTTGTCATTGCTGACACTAATCTCACACTTTGTTAAGCACCTTCCCTTTGAAAGACGGCCAGAGGCTTGGCATATAGATGAATAATCTGCCGGAAAGCATTAGTAACTCAAGATACCCCACTGTGGGACAAAGCTGGCCGCTGATTTTTAAGCTCTCCATTTTCTCCTAGCCTTTCTCAGTAAGCCAACCAGGGCAAAACAGGTGCCACCATCAATCATGGGTATGTTGTTCCTGGCAACCATAACTACCTCTGTCCCTGGTGCCATTCTGACTGACCTGGCCACAGGTGTGTAGGCAACAAGATCTGAGGACTCCTGGGGACCCATGTCTTGAGGTTCTCTAGAGAGGTTGCCTATGCTGGACAACCTCGGGACAGGGATTGGTTCAGAATTCCCAGCCCAGCCCAGGCTGCTACCAGTTACTAAAGTGACTTTGGAATTTGCCTGGGGTTTGAAACCAAAATTGTTGGATCCAGAATAGCAAGAGTCTCAGTGGACTTCTCCATTCTCCAAGCTCAAATGGGTTGTTTCCAAGTCTAGACCTTCAGCCTCTGGCCTTTCTGAAGGTTCTGTCCTATGGGGTGAGAAGTATCACATTCTGCCTGCTGTGAGATGATCTAGCAGGAAACATGACTCGCTACAACACTGGCTTTTGTGGGGTTTTACACCTCTGCTCTGCGCAGCAGTGGGCAGCCTTTCAGACCATCGGGTACCAAGTGTGAGGAGAGGGTAGGACTCCATCCTCATGTCAGATGTCAGAGGGTAGGCACAGGGAATCAAGGAGTACAGGTAGATGGTGTTCCTAAGCCGGTGATCCTCACCCAGGGACCTGTTCGCTAGGGCGAGTGGCCATCTGACCGGTCCTTGATGGCCCTCAGGTCACAGTGTCCTGGTCTCTCTCCACACCAATCTTCCTACTCACCGGTTCTGGCGTTCATGGTGGCTGGTACGCTTTGCTGTGAGTTCATGACGGCGGATATTCCAATCCCATACTCAGTGCCAGGCACCAGATCTGTTGGTAGATGCAGAAGCAAATGTTATCCCATGTTATGTCAGGGATGGGGAAGGCTGAACTGGGATGGGGTGGAGCAAATGACCTTAGGCTCCTGTTCAGATCTTGTGTTTGATTCCCTCCTAATTTTACCCATTTGCATTGCATGTGTGCACAGTCGTGTCTGACTGCTTGTGACCCCATGGACTTAGCTCACCAGGATCCTCTGTCCATGCGATTTTCCAGGCAAGAATATTGGAGTGGGTTACCATTTCCTCATCTTACCTATTAGGAAATCCTAATTTCACCACGTAGGAAATCCACACCAAGTCAAGAGAATGAACTGGTCAGCGCAGAGCTTCCTCCTTGCTGCTGGCCTCCTTGGGAGGGCAGTGGTGCTGTCCTGGCCAGGGACCTTCAGACCTGTGCTCTACTGTGGGAGTCTCCTCAGGGCACTTAGAGTCTCAGGTTGGCTAAAGCTGGTAAGGGCATTTCTTGCTTACACTGTGAATTGGGGGAGTGTATAATTGAGGACTGTGTGGACATAAGCTTGTAAAGCGTTTGTTGAACGTTGTGGATGAAGAACAAGCTGCACCTGTTATAGGCAGGGACTGAGGCCATATGGGGATGTCTGCAGCCTTTCTGGGGAGCAACTGGGGATGGACTGTCTCACTGAGCACAAGGCTGTTGGGTCTTTAATGTGAGGGCATGTAGTAGCTCTGGTGCTGTGGGCTCCCTACCAAGGGCACTTCAATGTGAGGATGACTTCTGGGGGACCCTAAGGAGCTGAAGAAAATGGAAAAAAACTTCCCAACTACAGAGGGAAATTCTTTAGGGTTAAATACAAAGGATCACTGGGGATCTCCAAGAATATCTAGAATTATCTGGGGGTGTCTCCCTATCCTCTTACCCACATTCATTTTCAGTTTAACCAGTTCAGTGGATATATTAATTCCCTATTTATGTTGTAGCAAATTACCACAGTCTAGTGGCTCAAAACAATACATCTATTATTTTATAGTTCAGGAGCTTGGCAGGGCAGTATTCTTTCTGGAGATTCTAGGAAAGAATTTATTTCTTTACTATTTCTAGCTTCTACAGGTTGCCTGCATCCCTTGGCTTGTGGTCTCATAATCCATCTTGAAAGTCAGAGGTATAACATTTTTTCAAAATCTGTTTTTTTCTCTGAGCTCTTCTTCCATGATTCCATCTTCTACTCTGATCTCTCTGCATCCTTTTAAAAAGGATTCTTGAGATTACACTGGTCTTGATTAGCATGGGATAGTCTCCTCATCTTAAGATCCTTAACCGAATTACATCTATAACTTCCTTTTGTCAGTGTAAGATGACATAGTCACACATTCCAGGGATTATAATGTGGACATCTTTGGGGGCCTCTATTCTAGCACCAAACTAGCATCAAACTCACCCTCATTTATTAAGACTGAAATTGTAAAAAAATACAAGATCAAATCATCATCTGTGAGTTCCTTGTTGTCAGTCTGAATCCTTTTGGGTATCTCTTTGTGTAGGCTCAACTAGAACCAAGACTGATGATCATGCTGTTCTGCATCTATATAATAACACTTGTTCTTTTCAAACTACCTGTTTTTTGGAAAAAAAAATTTTTTTATAGGAATGCAGTTGCTTTACAGTGTTGTGTTAGTTTCTATGTACAGCAAAGTGAATCAGCTATATGTATACATATGCATATATTCCGTCTTTTTTGGATTTCCTTCCCATTTAGGTTCCTCAGTGCTCTGGTGATCTGACTGTATTTTGACCATTGCAACAACCTTATGAGGAATGTGAGATGGGGAGTCTTTTCCCCATCTGCATTAGTTTCCTTCATGACCTAGTCATCTCCCAAAGGCTCCATCTCCTAAGATCGTCACACTGGAATGAGGATTGCAGTGGATGAATTTTGGGGGGACACAAACATTTCAGGCTTTCCTGGGGGCTCAGTCAGTAAAGAATCTGCCTGCCATGTGGGAGACCTGGGTGCTGCCATGACAAAGGATCACAAATTTGGTGGCTTAAAACTACAGAAATGTATTGTCTCCCAGTTCTGGTGTCTAGAGGGCCACAATCAAGGTATTGGTAGACCCATGCTCCTTCCAAAGGAATCTTCTTGGCTCTTCCTAGCTTCCAGTAGCTGCTGGGAATCCTTGGTGCTGTGCCTTGGCTTCCAGCTGCATCACTCCAGTCTCCATCTCTGTTGGCCCCTGGTGTCTTTGTCTGCTTAGGCTGCTATGGGCTGGTGACTCAAACAATAAATGTGTTTCCCACAGTTCTGGAGGCTGAGAAGTTCCAGATCAAGGTACCAGCAGATTTGATGTCTGGTGAGCTCCGCTTCCTGGTTCACAGACCATCTTCTCACTGTGTTCTCACACAGCAAGAGAGCAAGAAAACTCTCTGAGGTCTCTTTTATGAGATCACTGGTCCCATTCATGAGGACTCTACGCTCATGACCTAGTCTTCTCTCAAAGGCTCCATCTCCTAATATCATCACACTGGAATGAGGATTACAATACACGAATTTTGGGGGGACACAAACATTTCAGGCTTTCCTGGTGGCTCAGGCAGTAAAGAATCTGCCTGCAATGTGGGAGACCTGGGGTCAATCCCTGGGTTGGGAAGATCCCCTGGAGGAGGCGATGGCAACCTACTCCAGTATTCTTTCCTGGAGAATCCCCATGGACAGAGGAGCCTGGCAGGCTACAGTCCATGGGGTCACAAAAGAGTCGGACATGACTGAGCGACTAAGCACACACACAAGGCAAAGAATAAATCTGTGACCAGCTGGAGATGACCTTTGGCTTCTGGCCTCAGGGGTCAGGGCTTTTAGGACTGAATGCCTTACCCTTCCCTTCAGTTCCTCCCCTCCCCAGAGCATCTGTGACCTACCAGGAACCCTGAGGGAAGAGGGACAATTTTGACAGGAAATGCATCAAGCAACCCTTCCTTCACAAGGGCTTGGTTTCCGGAAGGTGAAAGCTGTGTGGGAGACAGAGGCTTCTGCACTCCCTCCTCAGTACGGTTTTAGTACAGCCTGGGCAGTGAGCCCCGCATGCCTGGGTAAGGCAGAACCTACCTGGCCTTACTGACTGGGCTCTCAGATCAGAATCTATTAGAATCAGCCCGCTTTTTTTCTCTTCTGAAACCAGCTCCAGTCATTTCCTTACCTTTAGTTCTTTCTTTCTCTAAAGTGTCAACATTGGGACTTCCTTAGTGGTCCATTGGTTAAGAATTGCCTTTCAATGCAGGGGATGTGGGTTTGATCCCTGGTTGGGGAACTAAGATCCCACATGCCAATGGGGAACTAAGACTGCGAGTCACAACTACTGAGCCCACGCACTCTGGAGCCCACGCACCACAGCTAGACAGAAGCCTATGCACCGCCAACAGAAGATCCCATGTGAAGCAGCAGAGATCCTGCATGCCACAACTAAGACCTGGCACAGTCAAACATCGATAAAAAATAAACAAATATTAAAAAAAATAAAGTGTCAACACTGGTGGAGGTGAACTTTGAGGTCTGCTGGACATTAATATTCAGATTCTGCCACTTTCTATTAGGTTGGTTCAAATGCAATTGTGGTGGTTTTGGACTGTGAATTTTAAATCATTGTAACTCATTTCTAACACATCTTTATTAATCAAAATATGAACCATTACAATTAACACAATTTTGCCAATGAGAAATAAGCTTGCTTATTCCTGTAGTATAAAATTCATGCTTCGGGCAGTAGACTACCAAACAGTGAGCATGACCTTTTGTTGGGGCAAGAGTTGCTTTGGGAAGTGCTTTAGAACTGCTTAGTCCAACCACTTAGCTGGTCATTGTCAGCTGTCATATAATATCCACTTTTCATCACACATCACAATCCGATCAAGTAATGGTTCCTTGTTGCACAGAATAAGAGAAGATGACACTTCCAAATGACATTTAAAAAAAAACTTTTGGTCAGCTCATGAGGCATCCACTTACTGAACTTTTTCACCTTTCCAATTTGTTTCAAATGCTGAATGACCATAGAATGCTCGACGTTGAGTTCTCCGGCAAATGCTCACGTAGTTGTAAGAGGTCAGCTTTGATGATTGCTCTCAATTTTTGTCAACTTCTGATGGCCAGCCACTATGCTCCTCATCTTCAAGGCTCTCATCTTCTTTGCAAAACTTCTTTTTTTTTCATTTATTTTTATTAGTTGGAGGCTAATTACTTTACAATATTGTAGTGGTTTTTGTCATACATTGACATGAATCAGCCATGGATTTACATGTGTTCCCCATCCCGGTCCCCCCTCCCACCTCCCTCTCCACCCGATCCCTCTGGGTGTTCCCAGTGCACCAGGCCCAAGCACTTGTCTCATGCATCCCACCTGGGCTGGTGATCTGTTTCACCCTAGATAATATACATGTTTCGATGCTGTTCTCTTGAAACATCCCACCCTTGCCTTCTCCCACAGAGTCCAAAAGTCTGTTCTGTACATCTGTGTCTTTTTTTCTGTTTTGCATATAGGGTTATCATTACCATCTTTCTAAATTCCATATATATATGTTAGTATACTGTAATGGTCTTTATCTTTCTGGCTTACTTCACTCTGTATAATGGGCTCCAGTTTCATCCATCTCATTAGAACTGATTCAAATGAATTCTTTTTAATGGCTGAGTAATATTCCATGGTGTATATGTACCACAGCTTCCTTATCCATTCGTCTTCTGATGGGCATCTAGGTTGCTTCCATGTCCTGGCTATTATAAACAGTGCTGCGATGAACATTGGGGTGCATGTGTCTCTTTCAGATCTGGTTTCCTCGGTGTGTATGCCCAGAAGTGGGATTGCTGGGTGATATGGCAGTTCTATATCCAGTTTTTTAAGAAATCTCCATACTGGTCTCCATAGCAGCTATACTAGTTTTTGTAAAACTTCTTGAACCACCACTGCACTGTACATTCATTAGCAGTTCCTGAGCCAAATGGGCTGTTGATGTTGGAAGTCATCTCTGCTGCTTTACAA